GAGTGACATGTAATGTAACCATGGCAGTCACTGGCATTTTTGTAGTGCAGTTTTTTTTTTTTTTGCTTATTGGCCAACATATGCAACAATTACTGTATATCTACTATGAGCTAATACTGACATGACGATTACTTCTGTGTCTTTGGCTACTTTTTCCAGATGGTTGTATCATACTTGAAGATCAGGGTTATTGTAAAAGTAGCAAGAGCTTCATTGTTTGGCTGCCAAAGAGGGTAAATGTGGCAGAAACTTGAAAGTATACAAGCAATTTCATCATTGTGTTGCTGGCAGTCATTAATGTAACTGAATTGTCACTATTCTGTTAGTTGACCCAGTAACCAGAAGGCTTAGATCATCAATGAAATTTTCCCCTTTTTTACTCTGGTTTATCAAGATATGTTTTTGCTCTTTGGCCACACTCGGGTGTGGACAACCACATTTGTGAGGGAGATGGCATGATACCTTGCCAAATTTTCTTTCTTCACAGAGAAGGTGGTGTAGCAATGGGCAGCAAGGTCTGCACCAAACTGCTTGGCTGACCACCAATATCGGATTATCATCCTGCTGTGTAAACGGTGTCATCTTCTCTCAGAGACAATTTCCCTAATGTTTTTTGTCTGACAGATGACCCATCTCTGAAATATCATTTACCCTCTTTCCTGCAACAACAGGGACTACAGCAAGCTCGAAGCCATACTCCACACACACTCCTGTCCGGTTGTCACAGATGTGTATTTTTTTCTAGAAGTATGCTCTGGATTCCTGTGCTCATGTGAATTGATCTTACTCTCCAGAGAACAGGAGGTGAAACAAAAGCCTAAATTGAACATGCCAGGAATTTGTCACCCCCATCTTTTTATTTTAATTTTATTTTATTCTATTTTATCACTTGTTTTAAGAGCTCTCCTTGTGAGCATGCGTTATGATGGTGGAAGATCTAAAAACACCCTGTGGCTCCGGGCTGCAGTATAGAAATGTCTAAGTGCATCAAAGAATGTAGAATGGACAATAGTTACCAAATTTTTGCTTATCTCTCATAGCCAGGGTGTACACAAACAACATTAGCAAGTGTCTTTTTAAATGGCTGTCTAAGTCCTTACTGTAATACAATACCATAAACAGTAATGAGCAAGTGGGAGCTTCCTGCATTAAACGTTAGCAGTTACTGTTTATGCTTGCAGCCATGGAGTGTGCTCTGTAGTAGTTCACTGAATAAATAAGTTGCATTACAATGCTGAATAGCTAGTAGCACATACAGGGGGTTAAATTTCAAGGTGAAATGAGACCAGGTTGTAAGCTTTGTTATGAAACACTTTTGTGTCAGTGAAATGACTTTCACTGAGTCATTATTCAGTAGAGTCTACACTTGCATATATAGTAATTGCCTTAATATAAAAGGACTATTGTATTTCGATATTTGCCCATGTGGTGTATAGTTGACATGATGAAGTGACTATAGCAGATTATTTCAGGGCACTTTTTATTTGCTTGAGTAAATTGAACTTGTAAATGTGGGCCTTGGATAACTTGGTAATTAACACTTTTAATTCCTGTTGATCACTTGATTAGAGAGGGAGAAAAAATCTGTGGTCTTCCTTGAAGGTGTAGATTAGAGGTCACATTTCTTCAGCATCACAGTTGTTGTGCTGCAGTGAGAGATCCTGTGTCACTTTAGTTTGCCCCAGACTGCTCCAGTCCATGTTCAGCCTACCATCTTTAGCCTTGCTCTTTGCTGTGACTAGTCGACTCAGACCTTAAGTGGACTTTACTCTGACAGCTCCCTAGTACAAATGCCACGCAATGGCCGAGCTAACTGGAGTGAGCCCATGTGAGAATACAGCAGTGTATAGTCCGGAGTATTCCCATGGAGCTAGTTGGGTGTGTTGATGACATTCTGTCCTGTGACCGCCGTGAAACCCGAAGAATAAAAACATCTGATGGTGAAGAAAAATGGTCATTTACAATGAAGATGGCAACAAAAATATGTAACTAGTCACACAAAGAGATTCAGAGTCAGCACCAGAAAGGTTAGACATATTTAAGGAAGAGCAAGAGACCAAAATACATGACCAAATTACTGTCTGGCAACGTGATCACGCTATGTCCCACCTCCTGTACCCTCTAACCAGGCACTCCCTCGCAAAAACCAAATGGAGTATTTCAAGTAGGTGAGGATGTTTCTGACATAGGCTATCTTCTGTTGTGTGAAAGGGAAACTCTGGACAAAGTCTTGACCCGATTCTGCGGACATAGTCGAGAGATCATGTGTAATAAACAAAAAAAAAAAATTTGCTTAACTGTATTAGGGAGTCTCAAGTCTTAGCTACTTAATATTTTGTCAGCTTGTGATCAGAATTGTTCTTGGTTTTCCTATTCTAGAAGGATGTAGACCGACATCTCAGTCAGGCAGTTCCCATACTGCACCAACAAGTCCACTGATGATTTGTGTTATGTTGCATATTTACACAAAGCCTGATGATTAAGTCTTTAAACTGAGGATGCTGTGTTCTTTGCTAAAAATAAATCATTGCTACCCTAAAAAGGACATGGGTGCACAAGTGCAGCTTCAGATATAAAGAAGAAATGATAATGCTAATTTTTTTTTTTTTTTTTTTAAGACGTTTGAGTACATGTAGTCCTTGTCTGGAAAATACAGTTGTGTTATTCAGGAAATTTGATAATGAAATGACAGCTAATTTAAGTAGCTAGTGTCATAAAATGTATTTTATAAATAACTTTGCTGTTGGAAGTATGAATGCATTGCATTCCTATAATAATATAGGATTAATGTTGAGTCAAGTTGTTAGACAGCTAGTAGTACCATTACATACTTTATATTATGGTAGTTTTCATACACCTTGTGGCTGCACCACAAACCACATATGAAAGTTCTATGTATCATTGAAAGTTCATGTGATGAGAGAAGGATTTGAAAATTTTTGTACTCTGTCTTAGAATTACAGAACTGTTACTGTTGTTTTTCTTATACAGTTCCCTCTCCTCTATTTAGAGTAGCTAGTAGTGAAAGTGGTTGTGATGCCATTTCCTGAAACTCGCTTCTCCTTTCTCAGTTCAAACTACATGTCCATTTCCTTTCAGCACTAATAAACATGTTTAGCATAGCATAAATAATGCAGTACAGCAAAAATGGCTCAAATCTAGCTTTAAATGTTTTCTTGACATGACGTAATGATCCAAACCCTTGCATTAACAAACGTTTGTGCAGGCCTTGTATTATGGGGAGGTCTAGTACAGGTTTGCTCTTTGATCCAGGCAGAGAGGAGATAACGGTAGGTGCCAGGCACGTGTATTCAGTACAGATGGGATGATATGACTTTTTCTCAATACGATTCGACGCACAATATGGTGTGTATGAGCTGATTCAGTTACGATAATTAAAAATTCAATGACAGCAATGTATGACTAGCTGCAGGATACTTTATTCCTTTTCCCCCCTTTTCCAGCACTGGTTTGATTAATGTAAAGAACCAGATATATTACGCTGTTAGGCTATCTTAGTTACAAAAACTATGAAGTCGACGGTGCATGGAGACCGCGATGTATATTGCTAGATAAAATAATATTTATTGTAGCCGTCCCTGGTAGGCTAGTGGTTAAGGCGCAGCGCTCTTGTTGCTGCGGCCCGGGTTCGAATCAGGGTTGCATCAGGAAGCGCATCCGGCGTAAAACACTTGCCAAATGTCAACATGTGAGTCGTCAGTGTGACGATTCGCTGTGGCGACCCCTAAATGGGAAAAGCCGAAAGTGACTTTCTTTCAAAATGATATTTATTGTGACTTCTTTGTATCACAGTATATTGACTTTTGATACATTGTCCCATCCCTAGTAGTCAGGGTGTTGGGATACTTGTCTTCTCCTCCTGGAATTTCCCCACTGTGGGATCACTAAAGTTCTACCCTAAGTGCACAACAAGAAACAGGTTATCGTTTTTGTGCCTCCTCGCCAGCAGGTTGTCCATCCATCCATACACCTGTACATACAGCCTGTTCTTGTGAACCATGAAACAGTAATTCCAGTTAAAAGATGTAGCATTTACCCTTGAGTGAGTCAAACAGGATTTCAGCATGTATACCAAGGGTGGCATATATTTAACTGCGTTGACATAGTGGTTGTATAGTCAACCACACCAATCTTGTTCTCTGTGTAACTGGCCGACTTTCCCAATTAGCATAATAATTTTACAGCCTTGTCTAACAAGTTTCAATAAACTTTGGAAATAAAGACTTGACATGGGTCCAAATTCATGTGCAGATTATTGATTCAAAAACTTGTGAAGTGCAGGGCTTTGGTAGTCGAGTGGTTAAGGGACGTAGCACATACCCACAATGTCCACAGTTCAGTTTTGGCATCTTGCATGTCATAACCCCCAGAGCTGGGTGATATGGCCAGCAACATTATCACAATGTATTTTTAGATCACTCAATATTAAACCTGTGAAGATTTTTGTGGGTGTGTAATTTAGGGTTGCTTCACTAACTTGAATGAAGGAATTGGCTGATCTACATGCAGATTAAGAAAAGGGTTTTATGGTGCGTCTTTGGAAACCTTATGCTGCCTAGTGCTGAATAGCAGTTGAGGCAGAAATAAATCACTTTGCACTTATTAGTTGCATTTATTGGTTAATCCAATAACCCAACTAATCAACCCCCCAGCCCACTACTAATACAATCAACCAGTGTTTTACTGTAAACATCGTTTGATCCCAGGTCAGTAGACATCACCCATCTGTAGTACGTACTCTATGTAATCTGCATATTTAAAGGTACCTTGAGAAAGATTCCTGACATTGGTTTTTACATAGTTTCATTGATTGATAGCTGCTGGTGGTAAAACAACAGGAAAGGTAGAAATACACCAAGAAACGTGGTTATACAGTATTTAGTAAGAAACACTGATTGTTAACTAACCTTTTTTAGAAAAGAGCATTATCTACATAGTCTGTTGAACCAAAATGTGCATTTGTGTGTATTTTCTTGCAGTAACGGAGTGGGGTGATGACGTACGGCCCATCTCTGAAGAGGAAGCCATGGTCATTGTCAACCACCAGTCCACAGGAGATGTGTGCACGCTCATGATGTGCCTGCAGGATAAGGGCACGGTAAGAAGAGAGAAATGCGTTCCCTCTTTGTGTCCCTTTTAGGAAATCCAGGAATATAGGTGTTAATGGCGTGACATCAGAGTAAATTTAGCCATGCGGAGCCTTGAGCCTGCAGGGTGCTTTGCACTGTCTGTATTTTGCTGGGATGGGCTGCTGTATGGACATCTTTGTGTGTTTGTCATGCCAAATTCCTGTAGAGTTGCACACAGACCCCTCCCAGCCCAAGTTTTGAGCATGTTTTGTTAAAGGTTGGTTAATGTCACCATTGTCGGTTTGTTTTGCCAGATGATGATTGCATGATGAAATGTATGAGAACAAGTTTCTGTATAAATCATTTTAAACATTTGTCGAGCTGTTTGCGTATTTATAATTTACTTTTTTATATTCAGTGGGCAGTGATATTATGCATAAATATATGGACTCTGATAGTTTCTAGAGGAGGAGGAAGTTCTTTTTGTACAACAGGAGAGAGCCATAATGATGGGATGGTCCGTCTTCATGTTAAAACAGTTGAGTTAGTAGAGAGAGACCGCAGTGCTGCTGTTTCCTGCATTCAAATGATAAAATGTGTTCACATTTTTCAGGCAGTTGACAACAGATGTGTAAAGATTTGAGCGGTGGCTGCTTTGCATTCTTTCATACTGCTCATTGTGAACAGACAGGCAAGCGAAACATGTCTGAATAGCACACACTCCTTCACTGTGGTGTGGGATACTTGTCACAAGTTTTCATAAAACAGGCATATCATGACCATAAATACAGACCAAAGATAACTTTTGTGTTCTGTACTTGGGTACGCTGACATACAGAATTACACACTACACAGAGAACTGGAGCTGTGAAAGCTAAGAAAGTTAGAGGTGTGTGTGTGTGTGTGTGTGTGAGAGAGAGAGAGAGAGAGAGAGAAAGCATATGTCACAGGTATGAAAAAGGCTTGTCTAACAGACATATAAAGAGAATACATGTTACATGTATCTTATTAGTAAACGGCATGGAACTGCAGGCTTCTCCTCGGGCAAGAAAGCCAGTGTACTGCAAAGCGTATGGCTTTAGACTGCTGGTCCATTTGTAGCTGTGGTATGTAGGATCACATAGGGCCAATACAGTTTAATAACTAGGTGTGCATTTGTATCATGCAGAAGTAGCTTTTTTTTAAAGGCCAGTGGGGGCACCTCTGGTGTTGTGTTTTAGTTGTTGATTTTTTGGCTGAGGCTGGCATCGTGCTGGAGCTCCACTGCACAAACATGACAGTGTTCACTTCAACAACTGTATCCTTGGCCCAGCTTATCCTCTTAGCATTGAAAGGACAGTAAGCCAAAGCTGCATCGGTGCAGATCATGAGAGTGGATGGGGGTATCGGTGTAGGACACTGGCACCAAAGTCTCCTGCTAATGCTCACGGGAAAATGCTGTATTGAGAAAAATGATAGGTTGTTTAGAAATGGTCATTGTTCATTCTCCTCCCTTTTTCAGGTGGTACGAAAAATGATGTGGTTGATGGATCATGTGTTCAAATACACCAACTTTGGCCTCGTGTCTCTGATCCATGGGGACTTTTTCATCAGACAGGTAACAGACCCAGTTGACACCAGTGGTTCTCTTAGGTTTGTTTTTGTTAAACCAGGGGTGGCCAATTCCAGTCCTCGAGGGCCGCTGTCCTGCTTGTTTTCCAACTATCCCTGCCTGACTTTCTGCTGATTACTTGGCTCAGGTGTGTTCAGTCAGTCTGAAGCTGGAAGATACCATCTTAGATGAAAGTGGAGTGAGGAAAGATAAAGTGAATTGGTATCTTCCAATTGTTGGAAAACAAGCAGGACAGCGGCAGCGCCCCTCGAGGACTGGAATTGGCCACCGCTGTGTTAAACAAACAACACAAACCAAGAGCTCAGATAAAAGTTTTTTTTTTTTTTTTTATAAATCTGTTGATCTCATAATGTAGATGTGACCATTAAATTCACTTCAAAATAGCCAGAGCCAGCTATCCTAATTGTGTCAATCCAGTTCTTATTCTATTCTGTTTTATTCTACTTTATTCTGTTTTAGTTCCTAAATGTTATGACACCCAATACTAGGTGAGAGAGAAACGGCATTTCGATTTTTTTTTTCTCTTGTATGTCCTGCACATATGGTGAATTGACAATAAAATCCTTGAACCTTGAACTTTTCCTAGTGTTTATATCACCTGTGGGACTAACCAGGACATTTTGTTTTGACAGTAAATAAATAAAAAAGCCTTTTTAAAAAGCCATTCCTCTTTTTTTTTTCCTTTTTTTTTTGTTTTGTAGCTGCAGAAATATGGTGGCAAGGAATTACAATTTTTAGGTCATGCAATTGATTTGCCATGGAATTTCATATCAGGCACTGTGCCGGGGATGAAGTACCCTGAGCCTGCTAACAGCCTGACAGACTACAGCAGAGGGCCTGAGCAGGCTCGGTCATTTCTGCCACCCTCCTTTCACTGATTCCTTCTGGCATTCTTGCTTGTGCACTCTTGACATCTTGCACCAGAATACTTGACACATCCACACAGCACAGCAAGCATCTGCCCCCAACCTCCCAAGCATCTGCTGTCCACTCAGGCTGGCAGACATGTCCCCAGCCTCATTATGCAAAGTACAACACAGCAGGCTTTGATGGCGGTTGGAAAACTACTGCTAACTACGGCTTTAAATAAAGCTTTTCTGCTAGTGAAAGTATCCTCATCCTTTCTAAACTTCAGCACTCAAATTGAAGGCATACATCAACAATTAAACCATGGCATATTACAGGTCATATTCTGAATACACTCAAATAATGCACAACACATCACTGTTGGCATGGTTTTTAATTCTTTATAACAGCAAGCTAGAGAGGAGACGTTAAATTGTCTGACCAACACTGATAAACACGTATTATTACGGGAAGAAATTAACAACTTTGACGGAGCAACAAAACGGGGCACTCTTAATGCTGCAGCTGGTAAAGGGGGAGTTAGTTTTAATTAGCTCATATGTTTAGAATTTGAAGTACTTTACATACCTCTGTCATATGATTATGTTGTAATTTTTGTATTAATATGGTTCTTTAAAATAACTAAAGTTATAAAATAAATGTAGTGGAGTAAAAAGTATATTTGCTTCTAAAATGTAGTGAAGTATGAAGCAGCACAAAATGAAAATACTCCAAAGTACAAATGCCTCAGAGTTGTACTTAAGTAAAATGCTTGAGTAATGTCCTGGGTTACTTTCCACCACTGCTTAAAAGCAACACTGGAGTAAATTTCCATCAAATCGTGTGGCTAATAGCCACAGCAAAACCACAGCAGCAGTGGCACGGTCATTTATAGGTTTGTGATATCTTGATCCTAATGCCTGCATCTGTCAATCAGAGACTTTGTAGAGGCACATAAGATGTATTCTTCATTGATTTTTGTTTTGTCAAACCAATGCTGCTGTTTGTACACAGTTCTGCTACATACAGCTGCATAAATAAAACACGTATGCTCACACAAGCACGGCTGTGCTAATGCTTTTAAAATGGCTTTTGACCAGGCCTAATTAATAATCAATCCTCCTTCTCATCCCATCACTGCTAATGCTTCTGATATTATCAAGGCCATCGTGTTTTGCATCCATTTCAGCTGTGCCATGAATGTTGCTCTGAGTGCTCACCAGTGCTACTCTGGCTAGCTTGTGATTTATGTTAGCTTGTTTACTTTTGTTTGCATGCTGACAAAAAGTGTTTGAGTTAATAAATATAGCAGTTGTTCCGTTTGTCTGGTTATTGTACCTGTTTTGAATACAGTCGGCTTGTTTTAAGAATTTCCTGTTAGATTTTCTAGAATAACAGTAGCTTGAAACAAAAGTGGAAACTCACCACTTGTAGACTAAATTATTAGTTAAACCATGATGTTGCTTTGTACATCTTCTTAATGTAATTTTGGTTGTTTCTACAGGGTAAAGCTCACCGAGACAAGCAGCTGGTCTACCTGAAAGAGCACCTAGACAAATACTACAACAGCCGTGACAGGAAGTGGATAGTGCTGTTCCCTGAGGGCGGCTTCCTGCGCAAGCGGCGGGAAACCAGCCAGTTGTTTGCCAAGAAACACTCTCTCCCCCACCTATCCCATGTCACATTGCCTCGTCTTGGGGCCACCCACGTTATCCTGAAAACTCTATCTGCCCAGCTGGAGAACGGCAACGTGGTCAACAAGACAGGTAACTCTCACAGACACAAACGTACAGGAAAAAAAAACTTCATCCATCTCTTTTGAAATGTTGCATGTTTTTGCAGTGTTTTTAAAAGGAATATTTGTAGATCGTATTTGGATGTATAAAGTTTGGTTTTTAGGACTGAACAGTAAGATCTAAAATGAATTTGTGTGTTTTTCATATTTGCCTGTAACAGCACAATGTACATAAATAAATCCAATATTTGGGAGCCTCAAAATATACAGTATGTTTGCCATCATCTTAAAGGCTATTTTAAAAATGTACATAATTTAGAGAAACTGTTTTACAGTAATCACTCTAAAGTTGTAGTAAAGTCAAAGAATGATAAACATGGCCTCAGGCCATGCCTCTGTTTCAGTCATTCATACTCCCCTGAGCCACTTGATACTTTTAAAACAAGACAAACCTGAAAGCCTGCAAACTTCAGAAAGTTGCTGTGAGCAGAAAACTTTTTCATCGATGTTTCACAGAGGATGATTTTTCAGATTGACAGACATTAAGTTAAATAATTAAAATAGCTTTTGAGTGTATTTTATTAGGCCTTGTGTGGTGACAGTGGGTTTACAAAAGACACAGTAGGAGTTTAATTTAAAGGTGATCTTTGTTCTTACTGAGGTGTGTGGGTATCAAATCCAATGCTATTTCCGGGCAAATCACACCTTTCCTTATTTCAGTGTCTGTGAACTCTTCAGCTCGACTTCAGTTCTTGATCAGTTGTGTTTTTATGTTGACTAGGCCATGGATGGAGCATGCTTCAAACACAAAGCATGATATCTCCCGGCTCTCTGGAGGCCTGTTTTTAAATGAAAGGCAACCGGTGATGATTGCCAGGAGAGGAAAGGGGTAACATGCACAGAGCTGCCAGAAATTGCATCAAGGTCTCTGAAACCCCAGTAGTGACTTGCAGGAGAGTCATTTTTCTGTCTAGAGACCAGCCCTAAATACAGCCAGTGAGCAGGAACACAACACTGTAGTTAACAAGCTTTGAGAGGGTTAAATTTATTTTCTCACTTTATTTGTAGCAGTTTCAAGATATAACAATAAAAGCATGGACACCAAACATGGTTGCATGTCTTACTCTGTCATCTTTATGCCCATATTGTCTTTAGTGTTCTTTTTGTTTTTCGGTACAGTTGGAACAGTTTTTTCTCATTTTCTGAGAAAGGCCTTCCCCTCATTCCTCAAGAAAAACATCAGTTTTTCACCGATGTATCCATTGTCTAAGTCTTAGAGGTTTTTACAGATACTTATTCACATATTTCTTAGTCTTTAATCATTCCAAGATATCTCTCTCTCTCTCTCTCCTGGGCAATCAACAATTAAAATGTCTCCCAAAACGGGTCAATCGCATGACGGGAAGATACAGGAATGGTAAGCATTTATGTGCCCACATAAACAGCATCAAGTGTGAATTTTCTTTAGCTGAATTTGTGAAAGAAAAGTTGCCATACTTTTCATGCTAACTGAATCATGGCCTTGTTTCAAGAGTAAGGCTTGGTACACAAATACCTGGCTTTACACAGCAGAATTATCCAGATAACTCTGTAAACTTGCTTCTTGTAAACATCCTCAGTGGAAAACACAGCAGCCATAAACATACCGGTGCAATGAGTCCCCCATGCCTGTGCATGCTCCACACACAGTTTACCCAATGCACACTCCTGGCTTTGTTTCAGAAGCAAGTTTGAAGGTGTGCTGTGTTAATAGTAATGCAGAGACTTTGCCTAGTATCAGTGAGAATGCAGTTCAGAGACTTGAGCCTTCCTCGGGTTTGCAGACACAGCTCTGTGTCCTCTAGCCTCAGCACTAACAGCTGTTTTTCCCTCTGCAGGACAGACTGTCAAACCAGAGGAGGCGCAGCTCTTAATCAGCTGTTGTAAAATTTAGATAGTGAAGCACAGCACAGTTCTTGTGCTAAAATATGTGCTGTATGTGCAGTTTATTTATTTTTAGCATTTGGTAGTGTAACAAGTCTTCAACCCACTCATCAGTGTTGATGTGCACCAAAGGTTTGCGGGCAGTAAGGAATTTTTAAACCTTTTAGGGTTTTAGACATCTTTGTTATGCCTGGTTACACACAATATTTTCCCTGGTTTGTATACTGTGGTTCCAGTTAATATCCCAGTTTATTCTTTATCTTACTTTATTTTGTTCTGTTCTAGTAGTACAGGGAGAGGAGAAGCTGGTTGTTACAGCAGGGCTTGTCCTTCAGCTTGAATCTAGCTAATAGCATTAAAACCTCAAGCAAGGAAAAAAAAAAAAAAAAACACATACCCAGCACTGGGCTATGCCCCTGACTGTCCTGTTCTGTGTGTGCGTGCGCGCATGCCTGGCTGATCAAAGAGACAGCTCTGTCTACTTGTGACCCTCCCTGATGCTCGGCAGAGGTGCCCTGAGCTTGCTGACTCACTCAAAGACAAATGGGTCATTTGGAGAAAATAGGATTTGATGTAAATGTGTGTGCCACTGTGTATCAGCCATGCCGTGTCACCCAGGTTAAATGCACTGCTCAGCTCAGATGCAAAGCACATGGTTCACTGGTTGCCAGTGTAGTTCAAAGCCTGCAGAAAGACTCCGTGTCAGCCAAGCCTTATGAAGTTTACAGTGGGTGTTATAAAATGGGGTTATCCATTGGCAGGTAAACAAGATTCAGTCATTTAGACTGGGAGTGGTGAACGTTGTTTGATAGCACTAACCAATTAGAAGCAGGATTTATCCACTGTTGATTCAGTAGGAGGGACAGGCGTAGGTTTGGTGTTGTATTGGGCCTGCATAGTGGCGTGATGGAGAGCCAGATATCTGCCAGCGCATTTCCTTCCTCTTTTTGTTTACAGAAGGACAGGGCTTCTCGGGTGTCATTTTAAATTACCACAGCTGCTGTTATTACAGTACTATCTGTCACAGCGTGTAGGGCGCCAGCGATACCTTGGCTCTGGGTCCCTGTTCTTTGGCAGGCCACTCACCTGAGACCATGGCTACCTTTCAGCACACTTGGGCAGAGATCTGGATCCAATTACCCACACAGGAATGGCTGTAGTGTCAGCCATTCCTGTCAATACCAAGGATGCCTATCAAGTCACTGGAACGTTGGCATAAATGAGGCACCAGCTTGTACCTCAGCTGCTTTTTTTCTGCCTCATTAATCTGGTCAACCAAGTACACTAAGAAAACAGAGGCGTGCATTCTTATTGGCCTGGTGTCTTTCATGCTCTTCTGCCCATACCGTACCTTTATTTGTGCAGCTGTTGGCCTTTGAGGCCTTTACTAGAAGCTGTGAAACTGAAAACACAATTGGAACAAACTTGATGATAGTAATCTATCAAGAAAAAAAATTGGAAAGCTAGAAATTAATGGGAATGGGACAGATGTGAGGTCACTGACCTTGATAGGAATGTGCGAAGGGGTGAAGGTCAATGATCTTGACTTCACTGAGGTTGAAACAAGTTGGTGACTGTTCCCTGTTAGAGGATTTTATGTCTATTTCACATTATATGTCATTTTGTATTGTGATATTTATATGGCTGTAGTAGACTATGAATTTTCTGTCAGGAAACTGTGAATGGGTAAAATAACCAGACACACTTTAAATACCTGACAAGTCAAAGTACTTCAACACACTGATGCAAAAATCCATTATTGTTGTGAAGGACTACTGTTCATTGATAGGCAGCATTCCCAACAATGGGTTATTACACTCGAAGATATGAAAGGCATACTGTCCCTATCACAGTATAAACAACTTTTATTGCAGCAGTGCCAAACTCCATATTCAAAGTGTCGTACCTGAACTGTACCAACTAGCACCAACATAATGTACCTGCTTGATTTACTTTGGTCAGGTCTCTCTCACTCTTCCACTGCATCACCCTCTTTTTTTTCTGAATGTTATGTTTATGAAAATGTTGAAATCATGAGTTGTTCTAACCTTTCCTTCCTGACAGAGTACAGTGTAATGTGACTGATCACTTGTGATGTTTAGCTGGACTTTATTACATTGGCATGATGTGTTAAAGAAGCCAGTATGCTCAGAGAGGGCACTGCCTGCTATTGTACAAACTGTGACACAGGCGGCCAAATACACTGTGCTCCTGTGCTGACTGAGGCTGCTCATGTTTATTCTTTTACATCTGACAAGCTTGTACTGAGTTTTCAGCTTAAAAGAACATGTCAGCATTAAGTTAATGTTCTTATTTTCTGTAAAAATGCCAGATGTTAAGGTTGTTACCAGTTGCATCTCTGCACGATGCGCCCCGGAAAGAGACAACTCTATAACATGTTTAGACTAGCTTAGCTCTAATGCTGAATGCATGGGGGAATGTCACTTCCTTCAAAATATGCCTTCCAACAATGCTGTGGTGATAGGATCACCCTTTTATATTCCTCCACATTCACCACTCCCACAAGTGATGCACATTGTGGAAAGTCGCTACGTCCTTACAGGCAGAGTCACAGCATACTTCACACACACACACACACACACACACACACACACACACACGGAATGTTTGAGTCAGCTTCATTACTGCAGATGTCAGGCGGGAGGTTTAATGGAGAGAAGATAAATCAGTTTGACCATCCCCCCTTTTTTCATTTATTTATGTATAGTCATGTGCAGGGGTGTACTGAGCTGACCCTGTAAAGCCCCCACACATGCAAGCGACTCCCACATTTTATAATGTCTTGAGTTCTTTGTCTCCCATGTGTTATTCTTCACCTTCCTGTCACACTACCCTATTCAGCCTTTTCCCTTCTGGCTGCATTACTATAATATAAAAACCTCCAGCCACCGCTGCTATTGACACTGTTCTTCAAATAAATTCCCAGTGTGGTGGCAAACATCTGGACTACTGATATGTTACTGAAGCAGCTGTGGGGCTGCTGTGCTGTAGACTGATCTTGACCACCTTTGGTTAGAAGTTAAATAAGAAGACTCTGACTATGGTGATTGTTTAAGATGGAACATACCTACATTTGGTATGTTTTAACTGCTTATCCCAGCCTTTCCAATTTGTCATCTTGTCCTCCAAACTCACTTTCGGCATTCTGTTTTTTACATCACAGGTAACAAGCATAAAGGCCTGAAGTGGGTAATAGATGTAACCATAGCGTATCCTCACGCAAGACCCATGGACATCCAGACCTGGATCTTTGGCTACAAGGCCCCTACAGTCACACATGTACACTACAGGTAAGGATGAAATGTATGTCATTGCGCTCACCTTTCACTATTTGTTCTGACTTGCTTTTCAAATCTGTAATTTGTCATTCACATTTGAGGGTACACTGGAGCTATTGTTGCTATGCAAATGTATTACGCAGCCAACATGCAAAGAAACTGAATCACATGAAAGCATTGCCACATTACATCATGAACTAAGTACAACATAAATATTTTCAGATTAGCATTACAAAACAGAAATATAAATTGTCTTCATTAGAGGAATCGTCTTACCGGGGAGTGACATCACAGGTTCCTAACAGAATTGCAAGTCACTTAGGTTTTCTACACAGATTACTACAAAGACTTTGAGACCTTGTATTATTCATGCGATTCACTTAGGCAGCATTCACATATATAGAGGGGGAATTCATCCTTGGTTTCTAAGGCTGTTTTCACACTAGGTTCCTTTCAGCCCTCAAAAGGAACTAGTGATAATCATTTGTTTCTGGTTTACTTTGGTTTATTTGTATGAATTTAAACTGGCTTTTATAGATGTGGTTGCTGTTTTATTGTGGAAGCACAAGTGCTCAAATGCTTTATATTTTTGTGGGGAAAAAAAAAACATTCAAAGAAATTCTAGTTATACTGCAAGATAACATTACTGAGTTTTAAAAGAAATGTTTACATGTAGTAGAATGACAACAGAACTTCACAAGGAAAAGGGAAAATGCTGGATGGAATAGAAACTGCCATCCTGCTGTTAAGCAAAACAGATCACTCCATGTTGTCCTGCTCTTGCTACCCTCCAGGCTCCCCACTGATGCAAATCCATTCCCCTCAAGGATATGATGAAGGTGGGCCAGGATTAGATTTTGTGTAGGTTCAATTCAAGATGCAGAGATTGTGCAGGGTGGGACAAGGCAAAGTAAAAGGTGATTTATAACCTCTTCCTTGTTGGTCCGTCTCACAAGGCTTCTCTGCTAACACGGACTAAAGCTAAGAACTCATTAAGCCAGTAATTAGACGAGGAGAGGATGCACTAGTCCCACCCCACCTCAGGGACTCCCTAATCAGACATCAACACAATCAACTTCCTTTGCGTGGTCAGCAGCTCTGCAGCCTGGGAACAGCCATGGAGGCACAGGTGTTCTTATTACAAGTATGCACACTCAGTTCTTACTGTGTAGATGGTGCTGATCATAGAGAAGTTAGGCCCATGCTGGTGCAGGTGCAGAGTCAACAAGAGGATTAATCTTCCCTGCTGATCAAGGGAACACCCTGGAGGAGTGAGCAGTATGATGCACTTCAGCGATGCAGATGGGAGTGAACCGCCCTACGGCAAAGTTTCTGCTGCGTCAGTGCAGGGCATTTTCTAAAGTGAGTGTAGTATGTGTTTGCTTGCATTCTTGCAAATAATGAAATTGTAGAATATGACCATATTTTATTGTAAAGAGAATCTGCAGCTGCAATAGGCTGCAGTTTAATAGCAGGGATTTATGGGCTCAGGCACGCTAGAGCATCATGAGCAAAGCAACAGTCACTCAGAAATCGGTGATCCTCTGTTTCACCAGTCCAACTGTTATCCGCAGTGACAACGTTAATGATCCTTGGCCATTGGCTGTAATATATTCAGAGTAAATGTCAGGCTTCAAATAGTTTCTGCAGATTTTGTTACTTCTTTTATATGAAGGATTCTTTTTCAATATCACAAAAGGACAAAAACAGGTTGGTTCAAACGGGGAAGATCAGGAATTTTGTTCTGAGGGAAGATGGTGAATTTTACAAATGGGTCACGTCATAGGCTATACTGCCAAGTTGTTTTTTGAGTTAATTGCATTAGATGGTTGTTTTACTTTTTTGTCTGTTATTTGCTTATGTGCAAATCAGAGTAAATATCCCTGGTGAAGAACAAATTTTGGCTCTGGTAAAAAAGACACAAATTGGAGGAAACTACATAGGTAGGTGTGTCTTGGTCCCACATCTGACGTCTCCGCCTGTTGGTGAATTGACCTTGATAACAGATTGTGCAAAACAGGCAGCTGAGTATTAAGTAATATTCTAGGTGAATCCACTTTGAGTGCTTCTGCCTCCCTCTTCTCTCTCCCTGCATGCAGTCCACACCCCTCAGCTTCACCCTGCTCTTTCCCCATATAATCTCAACCTCCCAGATTGCAGTATCATAAACCCTCTGTGAGTGGCAGATGGGAGAGCTAGGTGGGTGTGCAGAGTCCAAATGAGGGCAGTAGTGGGTGGTAAATACATTAAAATCCCTTTCTTTTCAATGCAGCTTCTCTTTTTGTGCTACTGTCTGCGTTTCTGTAAGCTGCTGTTTGAAAATGTCTGAAAGGTGCTGTGATTTATGGAGTCACAGTGTGCCTGGTCATCACACGGATGCTTTCGATATGCACGCGGGGCTTTCTCTCAGAGATGAGGTGCACACATGCAGAATTGTTGAGCTTGCAGTCGTTTTCTTAAGACCTCTTTTTTTTTTTTGTTCCTCTGAGCTCTTTGTAAAAGTTGCAGAACTCTCTTCCTAGTGGATGTGAGGCCCCTTTAACACTTCACCCAGGTTTAGTATCACTCTGGAGTTTTACTTATGAATGGAGTGAACACCTTGAGAGATGGTGCATGAATAGAGAGACTTCTGTCATGATTGAAACCCACTGTAGGAGTCAACCCCCCCCATTTGACAAAGTTTTCAGGTCTTTTGCTTCAGTAAAAGTAGCAGTTCCTATTGGAAAAATCAACTCAAAGATGCTCTGCTTATTTGTTTTCAGCTTCTTCTTCTTGTTTTTATGTAAGAACAGTAATTTAGTAAATGTGTCTAAATAATTGTAGATTTTTTTTCACATGTGTACAGTTAGTCTTTGGGTAGACTGTCCTTGTTTTTCTATTAAACTAACCTCTGTGTGACTGTCAAATCAGTTCAGGCCACGGAGTCCTTATCAACTTGTGCCAGTGGTTTTATAGCCCACTATTTCTAACCTTTGCACTGATTACAGGTTATCTCCATGCTAGGCTGTTACTGACCTCCACATGGCTCCAACCTAAACATTGTCAGATACCTGTGGTGGTTGAAGTGCTTTCTTGCCACATAGACACACAAATGTGTTGATAAGGGTGGGCATAACCATGGTAGTGTTTGCTGGTCACTTGAAT